TACTAGTAAATAATTACGGTTTGTCTGTTTTTTATAATGGTTTTCATTTATATAAATTTCAATCTAATTTTTTTGTATCTGTTCTATAAGGCAACCCTAGATTTTGGGGGCCTTTTTTTTATGATTTAACTATCATCTTATCTGTGGAAATATACGATAATTCAGATGCATAATGAAATATTAACTTTGCAACTCTCATATGCCAGACAAGTTGCAGATTTTTCTAAACTAATTAGTTAATTTAAAGCTATTTAACCATTAAATTTTCTAGTCTTTCAAGATATTTCTGGTTGGCCAGGTCATCATTGCATTGTAATAACTGGACATCTTCAAATTTAACTTGCACATCATTATCAGCAGTGAAAGAAGCCAATGCGATAGTGGAAAGACCTTTCTGAAAATTGTGTATTTATGCTCGTTGATCTTCATTTCGTGAGCAGTAACTTCAATATATACACATGGACAGTTCACCCTATGATTGTGTATAGAGATAGTATAGCCTCCTGGTATGCAATTTTTCTTCAATTGGTCCTTTCTAATACTAGAAAAAACAGTAGATCTCCTGTAAGCAATCCTGTTACTCATAAGCATGTTATTTACTTGTAGATGCCAGCAAGGATCTTATTACAAGTAACAAGTAAAAAGGACCAGTCTTTTGATTGTAATGGTTCTATTGGATGTTCTTGGCATACAGTAAGAACATTGATAAGGTGTGCAGGGTATCTATGTTACCTGGTTATGCTTGAAATGTAATTCAGCTCTATTTTCCTATCCTTCGCCTATCAGCCCATCTAATTCAAAGGCTGATACGCCTATCAGCCCATCTAATTCAAAGGCTGATACCCATTGTTTAATGGGTATCAGTCCTTCTTACATGGGCCTTTAAGACAGAGATCTTATAATTGAAAAATCATGTGATGTTGCATGGATGAAGAGCGGAGCATATGACTTTTTATGGAACACCTTTGTTCTAAACCAACCATGTTGTAATGTAATGTCTATGTTAAGAAAGTGTACTTGGGTGCAGTTTTGTTGCTTTACCTGCAAGGAGAGGCCATAAGTGTTATCATAGAAAGCTTTGATGAATGCAGACAGGTTTGGTTTTTCCTCCAAATAATCAACACATCATCAACATATCTTGCATATAACATAATATCATTGTTAACACGAGGGAAGACATATTATTCAATGGCACTTCACCATTAATTCACAAAGCATTCCTGAGCTGGACTAGCCATGGGTACTCCCCTTTCCTGGAGAAAAGTAGCCCCTTCACATGAAAAAAAATGTTGAATGACATATAAGGTGTACTAACTCCAATATGTTGGAAATGTGTTTGGAAGAGTCATTGATGTTATGAATGAGAAAGTTCCGCAATTCACAAAAACACTGCTCTATACTGTAAAGTACTATATTATTTTTCCGACTTTCCAACGATTATCGACACTACTGTGTGCCGGAAATAGCCGTTCCCTAACGGGTACTTTACGCGGATTCGCGTTAGTGTGCCAGGCCTGGACTTTAAGCGTGCACCGAATTAAATAATGACAAAGTTTGTCAATAACAAAATCAAATATTTAATTAAACTTCTA